GAATGGAGAGCAAAAAAAATGGGTGGCTCAAATTCGAAAGCCGCGCCAGTAACAAAAGGATTACATCCTAGACAGTACGTGCCAGAATTCGTGCAACATGCCGACATATGCGAACGGTTGATACTCTTTCGCTACTCGGCTACTTCCTTTTATACTTAAAGGAAGAGTATCTTTCGGCTTTAAAGAAGTTTCTATATTGCCGACCCACTGACTGCTACACTCAAATTCAAGGTTTACAAACTGTGCACTGTGTACATCCTGTTAGAAGAAAAGTACGTTTCTGCCTACAGTTTGAAAAAGAAGTCTAATAGTTCTTTTAAGATGTTGCAATAGATGTGGAGCATACTTTATACAGTATAGGCAGCATAAATAAATTGACGGATACGATTTATTATGATTGAACACCTCACAATAGTAAAAAATCTCATAATTAGAAATTTTTTAAAACCGAAAGATACCCTTTTAGTATAAAATTTAAAGAAGACTTAATGTTCTACCAAACAAGTACAAGAAATAAATTTTTCGTGCATGTTTTCCATAAAATCTATTTGAATTTTTCCATGTAACATAAGGTCCGGTTTGTTCGCGCTCGCCACCTCAAACTGCGTATATGAATTCACCTGCACTTGCGGATGCAAGTACATTGGCCGTAGGCAAAGGCAATTGTCGACCAGGGCTGCTGAGCATTTGCCTGCTTGGCCTTTAAGACAAGAGAACAAAGTACCGCGGTCATCTATTTAAAAAACACCTATCAAACAGTGGTCATTCGGTTGACACTAACACATCTTTCCGCGCTCTTGTTCGAGCACGAACAAACCGGATGTTACGTTACATGGAAGCAACCTACATACGGCGGGAAAAAGCCGACCTATGCAAGCAACTAGACATTTTGAATTTATAAAGGCAGTCAAAATCAATGATAAAACGCATAATATTTAAGTATTTACTTTTTACAGTACATACATTTTGCTAGCGGTCAAAACTAAGCTCGTTAAAAAGCTCGCATCCTATTTTGACTGAAATAACTTCAGAATAGACTACATGATAATCAGTACCACGACCTGAGTCAATGCCGATTAGCGAAAGAGTATCAACCGTTCGCATATGTCGGCATTGTGCGCGAATTGTGGCGCTCCTGTACTTATTGGAACACCCTGTGTACGAGTTACCCGTATACGGTGCTGGCTATGGTAATGGGTTCGAGCTGGCTCCCAATACGTCAAGCAAATAAAGTTCTAGACCCTAACGATCGCATCTACTGCTTCTAGCCTTTTTCATGAGCCCCGAATTTACCCATTTTTGAATTGAAATCTGCGGATATGCCCACTGGCGGATGCCATAAAACCCAATTTCCACAGTAGATAACTGACTGATTCGAACAGTGCAGTGATGCCTGAGAAGTAGTCTGGAGAGTTCACAAAAAATGGAAGTATTGTGCAGATAGTATTGCCCACAAAGACAAATGAGACTAGAAAGGCCATTTCTGGCCAATCAGCTGTCGGCAGCCGGTGATACCCAATCCGAAGTGGTGCACCAGCCGAGATTCGAACTCGCGACCTTTTTGATCAGAGTCTAGCACCCTAACCATTGATCCAGGAACTACCTTACTTGCCGGCTTAAGCCAAGAGATATTGACACTCCCTGATGAACGTTCACCCACCGCTCCCAGAACCTACTCGTCCTGCTCAG